TTTGCCACATTAATTAATTTAAAGAATTTAAAAACCATTTTCATTGAAATACAGTGACTGACTGCTCCAGGGAGCTCTAGGAGCAGCACAGTGTGAAGTAACATGGGCAAACTTCAATCTCATTCAGCAGTGGGTTTGCTTCAAAGAGCGGACAATTACAATCATGGTCAGATATGATGCAAGAGCAATGGAGAAAGCAAGTTTTAGCTGAAGCAACAATCAGTTCTTTACATACATTAACCAGACAGTTTGCAATATCTTGATTATAATCTCAAACTGTCTCTGCTGTCTGGAAACTTCTACCACCATGGGATACTGCCTATCATGTTTATGCTCTTGTGGAGATTTTCTGGCAAGTGCTACTGTCACAGCAAGACAGAGAATGAATGGTATTAGTGATAATGAACCAAATCTAAAATTTTTGGTTTGCTTCATATCAATGTCTTTTTAGGCTCAGAACTTGCAAAGTCACTCAAACAACAGGGAGGATTAGATGAGTGCATTGTTTGGAAACAACTTCCAAACCTTTAGTGTGGGATTGTCTTCACAGACACTGCTTCAAATACTATGTTGAAAGGTCCAGGTTCTTTCATGCCTGGGGGTCTGCTTTGACAGATGTCTCAAACTAAAGAACAGAACATCCAGTCTGTGATCTCAAATCAGATGGTTCCTTATTTACAGACTTTCCTGTGCCTTTGTTTCCTCCAGTTAGGGTTTCAGCCATACCGTACTTCTTGAGATCAGATTTACCAAGCTCTTGACCAAAAGTAGTAGCTGGTACTTGGCACATTTCTAAATATATCTCAGTACCTTCTGGCATATGGACAAGGACAATAAAAGAGCCCTCCTCAAATTATGAACAACAACACAATTCCCAGCTTATGGGAGATCCTCAGGACAGATGGAGGAAAAACCAAAAATTCTGTTTTGTGATAAAATTTTTCTGATACTCTTTCAAGCTGTTCTACTGCAAGTATGTGGTGTTCTCTGCAGAGCTCACAGCTCTACAGCAGCCCTGGCCTACTGCCCCTGTCTGACAGGGTGAGACAAACACTGGGAACCACCCAGGGCACTGCTGGGACCACACATTCTCAATACATGGAAATGTCAAACTGACACAGATTTGGGAAAGTAGCAAACTGAACTTGAGGATCAATCTGAAAGACAAAAAACCTTCAGTATATCTGCTGCAGGGGAGAGACTGCCAGAAGGAATAATGTCTTCCTACCAGGGCAAGAAAAGAAGCTCATGAGTAACTGGGCTGAACCCAGAAGCCCCTTCCAACTTCAACCATTCTGTTATTCTCAGCACATATTGCAAAGGCTTTAGAAAGAAGTAAACTACAGAAGCTGTTTCCTGCAGCCCTGTTCTAAGGCAGTCACCAAAGAGGAGCCAACTAGGTTCAAGCAAGAGGATCTGCCATGCTACACTGCATCTTGTCAACTATGTTTTGAGCAGTCCTGAAAAAGAAAGAAATACTAGAGGGTAGAGAAGGACAGATGATTCTGTACGTGTAAAGAAGTTTGGTGTGTAGTAGTCAAACTTTTTTGACCTGCACAGAAATCTGCATATTCAGTGGTTTTAAAGGAGTTGAGAGCCCATCTGTGTTTAAATATCTTGGGGCTTGGAGAGAAATCATTGTTTTCTCTAAGAAAATCATCACATATAGAGAAATAGTGCTGTTCTTCACCCCTCAGTGTACTAGCTGTAGAAAGACTTTGGTATGAGCTTTAAGATAAGTTTGAAGAGTAGATTACAACTTTATACAAAGTCACATGTTGTATTACTTACCCCCAGCAAGCTCCTCCAGACTTGGGACATGAAAAGCAAACCTTTCGACTTTGGCCATTTCCTGATTCGTGCTGATTTCTTCAGGTAAGAAGTTACAGTACAGCACACTGCAGAGTGATTGGTCTGCCAACAAAGATAATAGTTTAACAATTTAAACAGGCTCCTTTCAACACGTTAATTATTTTTCAATTTCACTCTAGAATACATATTAAAAATAGAACTGTAGTTCTGGCATCACAGGAAAGACTGACAGCTTCAATAGCAATGTTAAATTTCTTATGCATTTTGGAAGAAGATGTGTCTGTCAGCCATATAGCTGGCTCAGAGCATTACACATATTAGTCCTCAAGCTGACAGCTGGGTGTAGGGAAAACATATCCTACACTGAATGCAGATGAAGTGATCTGGAGATTTGGGTGTCTTTTGTAAGCCTGGAGTCACAATAAAGTTTTGAAAGAAACCTAGCTTTTGTGAGCACATCAACTGTCTCCTAAGGTCTTCCCAAACGTAATGTTTACTTTTCCAGCATTGGCTATGGTGGACTTTCAACCCCAGCTGTGACATGATCTCCAGTTGATTCTAGGCAAGTGTTTCCCTTTCCAGAGAGGAACAGGCTAGCAGCAAAATAGAAATCAATAGCAGCAATCAACAGCAGCAAAATAGAAGTCAACAGCCTGCAGTATCAGGCTCTGTACCCATACAAAAAGTATGTTAAAAAAAAAAAAAAAGTACTGTAACAAAAAAGTTTTGAACATGAGTTTAAGAGCCCCTTCAGAAATGAACTGTATTTCAGTCAGCCATGCAACAGCAAAGCCAGCTAGAAGGGCAAGGCACTAGGTCAGTGCAGAAACAACTGATTGTACACTACCTAAAAATCAGCTGCAGCAATCATTAACTCCTTAGGCACATACTTGCTACACACAGCAAAAAAAAATAAAATGGGTCCCTTTTACCCAGATCTCAGGTGGAAGAAGGAAAAAGCCAAAATCCTAACTACATTCCTAGACCTGATTGAGTCTTTGTTAGGAAGGACTATGGTGTGAGACAGCTGCTTATGTATAGTTCTAGCTTCTGCTTTTAAAAAATCCTAATTTTTACGACTGTCAAAAAATGTAACTGTCCTTACACCATTAGCCTCTTGAGTCTGCATAAAGGAAACAAAATACCAAAAAAACAAACCGGCGAGAAAAAAAAAAGAAATAAGAAGAGTGGGGAGATCGTAGCAGTCACTTCACTGAAATCTTTGAGCTCAATGCTCAGCCACCCCAAATTACTGCTGTAACAAGCAGCAGAGAAGGGACAAAAGACTGCAACCTGTGTATAATAATTCTCATCTTAGCTGGTCTTATCTGTCTCCACAGTTGACTTTGTCCCTTCTCTGGCTCTGGAGGAGAAATCAGCAGGCTGGATTTGGTGCCTCTGGTAGAAGCCTCATGTCAGGTGGAGTGAATCATACCACAAGACTTCTAGTGTGCACCAAGAAAGGGAGTAATTAGCCATAGGCAGAAAGTGAAAACATGGCTTTGGGAGGATCGTTTTAGGTGATCCTCATCCCCTCAAGAACCTTTTGCCACATCCAGGAGGAGGCTGTGCCAGCACTCAACACACTGTTGTCCTTAAACAGTCTGAGAAGACAAGCTAGAACTGCTGTTGTGCAAAAGGCAGAGACAAGACTTGTACAGTACTCAAATAAGTTAGCTCCCCACAATCAAGAAAGGAGGGAAAGACTGTGGAAATTTTGTTTGTACCATAATAAACCCAATCTGATTGGTAGACAGTAGTTCTTACCAGGAAAGACACAAAAGAGTAAATCTGTGCCCTACCACTGCAAATATTCACAGGGGAGTGAATTGTGTGGTGTGGGACAGAGAGAACCTGAGACAACAGCACATAATAAAGATCCATCACGGAGGGCTGCAGTGACACTGAATTGCTACAGAAAAATTTCAGAGAAAGAACAGAAATGCTAAAAGGGTGATAAAGTTATTATAGATGTGGGATGGTGCAACTAGAATGGAAGCAACAAGTATGTAAAGACTTAAAAGTCTGCCTTTGAAGTGGGAAGAAAACATCAGAGAGAGCAGTCAGGTACCAGGAGAAGACAGATGAAATGTGAAACATTAGATTAATTATGTGTGGGGGGTGTCTATTGTCAAAAGCTGATTTGAAATTAGCTTGGAGAGTTAAAGCCAAAAAGGAGAGGTTGTAGGCAGGTTAGACACGAGTCGGGGAGGAGGGTGGTGGGGGAAGAACTATCCGTGGAAAAAATTGAAGATGGCAATTGTGAGAGAGAAGTTTAGCGATGACACCAAGAAAAGCAAGAAATCCACAGATGGAGAAGCCGTATTTCCTTCCTGGGGCGGTGCTCGGAGATCCCGTACGGGACAGAGGAAGGTGCGGGGCAGCAGAAGCAACTGTTTGAGCGGCTGGGAATTGGGGAAGGGACGGGCCACGGCAGGGTATTGACAGGCGTGCCAGGCGAGGCTGGGGTCCGAGGGACACAGCATCCCGGCAGGCAAAGGCAGCGGAGAGCACTGCAGCGAGGGAGCGCTACAGCCGGCGGCACGCCTGGCAGCGCTGCGGGGGGAAGGAAGGGGCTGCTCAGGCTGGAGCAGCCAGCTCGGGGAGCCTGGGGAAGGACAAGCAGCACAGCAGGAACGGGAGCCTCTCACCGGGCGGGAAGCCGGGAGCTGCCCGAGCTCTGGCACGCACGGAGAGCCGCTACCGCCCGACCGCACGTACCTGCCCTGCCGCCGGCTCTGGCACAGCAAGGCTCCGCTTCGCTCGGCTCCGCCCCCGGCGCGACCGCCCCGCCGCCACTCCCAGCATGGCGCCATCCTCCTCCTCCCCCTCCTTCCCGTCGGCCCGCGCGCCTCTCGCGAGCTTCCCGGCGCTATTTAAGGCGCGGGCGGCCATTGCACGCCCTTTGCGGCGGGGCAGCGGGAGGCGCAGGTAGGCCGCTCGCGGCGGGCGGATCCGCCGCCATCCGCGCTGCCGGGGCCCGGGAATGCGGGAGCCGGGGGTGGAGGGATAGTCTGGGCGGTGTGGAGTCAAGCCCCGAGGAATGGGGCGTGAGGCGGCGGTCGGTGAGGGGCCCCGCGGGAGCGGTGCCGGCGGGGTGTCCCCGGCCCGGCTGACTTGCCCGCGCGCCTCTCGCGAGCTTCCCGGCGCTATTTAAGGCGCGGGCGGCCATTGCACGCCCTTTGCGGCGGGGCAGCGGGAGGCGCAGGTAGGCCGCTCGCGGCGGGCGGATCCGCCGCCATCCGCGCTGCCGGGGCCTGGGAACGCGGGAGCCGGGGGTGGAGGGACAGTCCGGGCGGTGTGGAGTCATGCCCCGAGGAGCGGGGCGTGAGGCGGCGGTCGGTGAGGGGCCCCGCGGGAGCGGTGCCGGCGGGGTGTCCCCGGCCCGGCTGACTTGGTGCCTGCCCCGTCCGAAAGGCCTTCCCGTGGCGCCGGCCCCAGCGCGCTGCTGCAGCCGAGCCTGGCGAGGGGTGTGCCTGGCGCCTTGGTCAGGGTTTCAGCAAGTTTAGGTGGTTGTTTTTCTTCCCCAAGGGATCTGCGTGCCGTGCCAGCGCCGCAGGCCGGAGCCGCGGTAGAGACGTCGAAGGATGCTGAGCTGCGGCTTGTGAGTAGCAGGCAGGGCCTGTGCGCTCAGAGTGGCATTGCTGCCGCTGGCGTTGGTTGGTTTTGTTTCTGGGCTTCGTGTTTGTCAGGCCACGGGGGAACCAGCGTGAGCAGTGTGCCTGCAGAGGCATAGCAGAGCTAGCACGAAGGTCTTTCTCGTTGTGGGGGGCACAAAATGAACTCAGGATTTGAGATGTGGCCTTAGCAGTGCTGAGTACAGCGGGACGATCCCTGCCCTGGTGTTGCTGTCTCCACTGTTGCTGATCCAGGCCAGGGTGCCGTCGGCCTTCTTGGCCACACCCTGGATCATATTGGGCTGCTGTTAACCAGCACCCCCATGGCCTTTTCTGCTGTGACCCACGTGCAGGACCCAGCACTTTGCCTTGTTAAACCTCACTCACTTGGCTTCAGTTTGTCAAATCCAGCTTGTGCAGACACCTCTGCAGAGCCTTCCTGCCCTCCAGCAGATCAGCATTCCCACCCAACTTGGTGTCACCTGCCAGCTGCATGAGGGTGCATTTAATCCCTTTTTTGAGGTCGTCAGTGGACAATAAACTTGCCTGGCCCCAGCCCTAATCCCTGGGGAGCATCACTTAAGACCAGCTACCAGCTGGATGTAACTCCCTTCAGCACCACTCTCAGGGCCCAGCCATTTATCCAGTTTTTCATCCAAACCATGAGCAGCCAGTTCCTCCAGGAGAATACTGTGAGAAATGGTGTCCAAAGCTTTACTAAAGTGCAGGCAAACGACATCCACAGCCTTTGCCTCATACACTGGTCATAGAAGGACATCAGGTGGGTCAGTTGGGGCCTGCTTTTCCTACATTCATGCTGACGAGGTCCAGTCCTTTGCTTGATGTGCATGTGCCCTCAGGATGATGTGCTGCAGGTTATGTGAGGGCATTGGATAAACTCTGCTCTAGTGTCTTCGGATGCTGAACTGTGTAGTAACATTTAAAATGTTAATGGGTTTGAGAATAAGTTTGTAAAACTCGAAAAAAACTCTAAAACTCACAGTAAAATTAGAAAGATGCAGGTCTACAGGGCTAGTAAATGACAGGTAAAATAACTCCAGGCTCATGCAGAGGAAAGCTAGATTCCTTTGCTGTATGTTACATTCCCTTTTGTATAGACTTAAGCCACTAAAGAGCTGGACTGTGTTGTCTTGCTAATTCAAGTGAAAATTAGCATTTTTGTTCTGGGGCTGGTCTCTAATGATTAATAGCCAAACAAATGGGTGATGGATTATTAAGAGCAGGAGATTTTAGGTATCTTACAGCTCACAAAACAGAAGGAAGATGGATGGCATAGCTTCTCATGATGGCACTGGATTAATTTTAAGGTTTTAAACCACAGTAAAATATTTTTGTATGACTTAAAACTGCAATATCCTTACAAGTATAAGAAGGCATTGGCTATGTGTATGTGTACTTGTTTGGAGGAAAATTACCCTAAGTAGGGAGAGTGTTCAAACATTCAGAATTCATCTCAGTCTCCGAACAATCTCTTGCACCACTGATGTTTGCCTTCCTCTGGGCAGGAGCTGAACTAAAGACTAAAAAATTTTCTGACTTTAGTTGTGCTGTGAATATCTTTGGGGTAAGTGGCTGTGACTTAATAAATGTTAGTATGAGGAATATAACTGGTCATGGTTCATAGGAAAATCTCTGCTCAGGTTTCCTCAGGATTGTTCTTAAGTTTACCCTGTGATCATGAATGGAGTAGAGGAAAGTTTGTTACCTGATTAATGTAACTTTTTATTTTATTGAATTCTCATTGCCTTTTAGGACAAACTGAAACATGACTGATACAGATGAACCCCAGACTTCTGGCTCTGATTACCCTGATGCCCAAGTGCTGATCAGCCCTCAGCAGCAGGAGCCATCTGAGGTGTGTTTATGGCAAAGGAATACAGGAACAGAGCGGTCAAGGCAGAAGGTGGCTGTTCCTCGGGAGTCTTCAGATCATCCTAAGAGCATGTGTAAATCATCAGCTGCTTCATCTGAGGTTTTACTGATCAGCAGTGATTCAGAAAGGTGAGTTTTTATCTCTAGTCCAGAATTTTTCCTGTGGAGAACCTGTGTAATGTATCATAAAAGTGAGCCTTCTTTTGAAAGTAAATACTTTTTTCTTCTTCAGTGATGTCTCTGATGCTCGTCCTGAGTGCTCCATTGCACCTTCAAAGCAGAAAAGGCGATCTCAATATTCAAGGCAACAAGCTGAATCTGTTACAGAAGTACCTGACAATGAAAGCTCCTCAGATTCTTCACTGTCTCCTCAAAGTCCAGGGAAATCATTAGACGTTTCCAAGCAGCAAAAGTCAAAACTCAATTTGAAGGCCATTTTTGCTTATCACTTCAGGGGAAGGAAGTTCAAAGCAGCCGCACACAGAAAATACAAAATTTACGCACGGAAGAGCAAGAAGAAAAAGTATGAGAGCACACACATGCCCACAGGGAGGCCCCCACTAACAGCCTCACCACAGGAACAAAAGAGGAGGCTCCTAGACAGAGGTTTTCAATTCCCTTTTGTTGAAAAACATTATGGGAAGAAGCATATTCCCTTAAAGATGGTTCTTGGCTATGAGGTATGTCCTCTCTTTTGTGGGATAAATATTTTCCTAAGTCTAAAAATTAAGAATTAAAATGGGCTATGTTGTGCTTCCACTAGAATAAAACAGGTTTTACTTCTATTAAACAGGACACTCGATGTTGTAAAATTAATACCTTCTAAAGCAAACACTGCAAGAATATATATTAGTGTTGATAGAATGTTACATTATCAGTTCATAATGTAAATGCGTTACATTTAAGATCTTACCTGAGTATTTTTTTCTACAGCAAGCAGCTGCAAAGGGATATTTCAAGTATATTGAAGTGCTTAAATATGAAGAACATCTTAAAAAAGCTTTAAAAGCCCTTCAGGCCAGTGATGACTTAGAAAAAGAGTGTATGGTGTTACGGAAACACAAATACTTAGATGATGATGGCCCCATTTCCCCTATTCAGGAGACGGAGTAAGTTCATCTTTACTTACTTTTTTGTGCTTTACTAACATATAAATGTGTGTGTATCAAGTTCAATTGTTGTCCTGTCCTTTTAACCTATGAAAGCATTGTTTATTTTGGGAACAAAGCACTCTACCACTTGGGATATTCTGTGTTTGTAGATGGTAACTTAAAAGTTCTCACAGAAATAAGTATTCTTAATTTGATCTGAAGACTGAGAATTGTTGGCAGAAATTGAAATAAAGTATTTTGTGAAATGCACTCCTCTAATGTTATCCCGACTAAAACACAGTTTTCTAAAACAAAGACTAAAGGATAATTTCAATACCTTTTTACATTATTAAAAACCAAAGTGTTATCTTTGGTCTTCAGGGTCAAGCAATTAGCTTAGTGCAGTAAAAAGATCAGGAAATCAGCAAGAATACTTGCTGTTGTAAATGCAACTGCAAGTAACCTTGAGAAAGCCTAAAAGACAGTGTTAAAGGTACAATGCTGTCTTTCACCTACTGTTCACTTAAGGGCTTTAGTTTACCCATTTTAAGGTCCATAAAAGTGCACAGTTTGATCTAAATTTTTTATTTCAGCGATGATGATGAGGAGAGCTTGAATTCTGATACTGAGGAACAACTTGATGCCAGAGTAGTGGTAAGTAAGCACTCCTTAACTTCAGAAACACTCTAGCTTTTCTGTTCTGAAGTTAAAGAATTAGTAGATAATGTCTTCAGTATTCAGTTCTTGAGCTTAGATCCAGAGTTAAGTGTGACCTCTGAATTCTGATTTTAGTGCAGAAGGAGGTTGATAGTCCACTCTTTTCTTCAATGTAATGCTGAAATGTATAGGAATTCTGTAGAGTCCTTAAAAATCCACATATTTACTACTAAAATCTTACATAAGTATCTCAAAACTAGACTTGTTACTACTTCTGTTTTCCAATTTTCTTAGGAGAACAGCTCTTTCATTCTAAGCAGCACAATTCCCAGTAAAAAAAAGTCAAAGCCAAGAAGAAAACGTGCAAAACCACCTGAAGTGATTGAAATAGAGGATGAAGAAGATGGTGCTGAAGGGAACTCTGTGCCTCTGCAGGGTTCACCTCGGTGAACAGCAGATGGACCAATGAGGTGGCAGTGGTTGTTCTTCAGATGCCTCTCTTGGGCCTGTTTGGTTTAAAACATTGCTCTGGAGTCAGTGTTCAGCTCTCCACCCAGATGCCTAGGCACATTTGGCTTATTGTGAGTATATTGGGCTTGTGTCTGGGACAGTTACAAAAATAGAATAACCTGTCCTCATGCTAAGCTTTTAAATGTCTTCTGTGCTGTTCTCTATCAAGAGCACAGGATAGAAAAGGATGTGTATACAGAAAAGCATGCATACATCAACTTGAAAGGGCAGTTTAGAGCCTTTCTTTCATAGATGATTTTGTGGGTGGTCCTTGAGAGATTGTTTTTCTATCTTAGAGGTGCAGGTTTGAAATACTTTAGAAGTTAAAGGGTTGAAGAAGAATTAAAACTTTATGCAAGTGCCAACCATAAAAATTCAAAAGTGGTTGGTCAGTTTTGACAAAAGTCTGTTGAAAAAATGTGGTTAATGGATTTGAATGATAATAAAATCCAATTTTGTGTGGTTGAGGTTGTCTATTCCATGTAGAATAAACTCTCAGAAAACGAATTCTCTGCTCCTTAATCTAATACAAGAATCTGAAGTTGTAAGTTACTGTATCAATTACTGTAGCAATATAGTGAATCTTGAGTCAAAAATTACTTTTTCCCTCTTTCCCCCCTCTGTCCAGAATGGCTTCTGATATGGACATGACTTAGCAGAAGCTAAAAGCTCTTTATTGACAGTACTTGCCAGGCATTGCCCCAGCTGCAAATACCTTTCTGAAAGGTGTTTTAGTCAGTGGGAAACATGGCTAGTGTTTAGAAGTGGTCTGAATATCACTGTGTCCTCCTGCAGCTGTTTTGGTAGCTGAAGTAACAAACGTTTGAAATGCTCACTTGTGAATCAGGAAAATTTAAAAACAAGTCACCTCACAGCCTCAGTCAAGTAGTCTTAACCAAATTGCTGTCAGCAGCTAACTGGCAGCTGTTCAGCAGGTAAAAGTAATCTGTGCTGAACAAGTGTGTTGTCAGAAAAAGGCTTTGTCTGCTGATGGAATTTCCTTCAAATGAAACTTAAGGAGATTTGCAGTAGATGCTCAATATTGAGAGCAAGTCAAGCTGTGTTATTTACATGCTTGAATTAAGGTCCCAGACCTTTGTAAGGAAGTTTCCCAAACATATCTTGATAGCTCTAGCTAGAACTGCAAAAATTACTCTTCAGCATTTAAAGATCAAACCACTAAAACTGGTTCAGAATTAATGGCTAAATGTAACTCTTTTAGGTGTCTTCCTGAAAAATACTTAAAGGCTTGAAAGACTCACCCTGGATCAAGGAGTGGGGTTCTTGGTAGGGCACAGTGAGTGGTGTATGAGGAGTCCTGCTCATTCTGCAGTTCATGTGATGAATTTGGCTGTTCAACTGCTGAGTGACTCAAAAGTAAACTAAATTTCAATATTGATTAAAACTGGATAAATATATTCATGAAAGTCAAGCTTATTACAGCTGCTAAGTTGGTTGTTAAAATCTGGCTTTGGCTTCAGGAATCTTTAGTTATTTGACTGTATATGACAGTTTTTTCACTTTGTTTTTCTTGTCTTTCCCATCTAGTTTATGTTGCTTTTGGAAGATGAAATACCTCTTGGTTTTCTTGCTGCATAAGGTAAGCTGTTACTTGGGTTTCAGTTTTGTTTCCTTTAGGTAGCTTTTTTTGCATTATTTCACAAAAGGTTTTGAAAAAGCAGTGCTCCATAGTTAAAATATATTACAGTGCTCCACAGCTGAGCAGCAGCTTGTGAGTGTGAAACTTCCCACGTGTGAGTTCAGTGCTATATACCTTTCATCAGTCTGACCAAAGTTAGAGCCTGTAGCATCTATTTAAACAAAAACTTCAGTTCTTGAATACTTCAAAGTGCAGTTTTTGTTAACAACCAAAAGTTTTACCTGCTGTCAAATGCTGCAACTTACCTGATTTGGCTTGGACAACACTGCCTGGAATTTTCTCTGCTGAAGATCTTGAAGAGCTACTTTCCTCTCAGTCTTCGTGGTGCCTCACCCACACTTTCTGTGCCAGGGTGTATCAACAGCTGCAGCTTCTGGTGGCTTCCCTATGGTAAAATTCCACCTTAATTTATATCTCTTCCAAGAGCAGGAGGGACAGCAGAGAGCAACTGGTAGTCTTGCATGTACATGGCTGTGAAAGCTTCTTACTGTAGGATGTTGCCAAGTTTGCATGGCTTGGGACAGTGTAGGGAATAGCATGGAAGAAAGCACCTAGTAAGGATACAGCATAGGAAAATCCCTTTGACATGGGGAACACTGAGCTGAGGGTGGGCAAGTAGTGAAACCTTACATGAACATTCTTGAGTTGAAAGGGTAGGAGCAGACATCTCACTTGGCTGTTGCTGTAGGTGGAGGACTGCACTAGGAAGCACATCAGGTTGGCACAGTGTATGCGATTCTGAACTCCTCACCACAATTACCTTGGTTCAAGCTACCTGTCTCTAGGACTGGACAGCGTGGTAACGGTCAGGTTCTACTGCTAACCCTAAGTGTATAGTCAATTGGGAAGTAATTTGAAATGGTGTTTCAAAAATAGCAAAAAAATGAATGTGTTCAGTCTGTTCCAGCACTTGATCAGGTTTTGTCTTTGGCTGTAGACAAAAACCTGGAACCTAGTGCTTAGAAAAAGCCCTTCCTTTGCAACCCACAGCTGATGAATGTATCGGTTGTGTTACCTACCCGAAGGGACAATATTTGCATGGCCTCAAATAGCATTCATTCATTCAAATACTGATCAATCTAGAGTTTGGTGTTCTGAATTTTCAGAAGTGTAGTTTGATTGCATCTTTCTTTGCAGATGAGCACAGTCGCACTGCAGCAGCAGCTGTAATTGCTTGATTACAGGACCTCTTCAATTCTTATGGCTGTTTGCTGACCTGATTCACAAATCCTTTACTTCAGTGGACATCTGTGCAACATGGAAGCAAAAGAGGTGAGCTTTGTTTCTTCTGAGCTTCACCATAAGACCATTGGGTTTCTTCAGTTTAGTGCTGTTCCCACAGCAAGTAATCAGACTAATTTGTGCACTGTATGGTATCTGCACCCAGCAGTGTCTTCCTGATGGGCTGTTCAAAAAGCAGTGCTACAGTATTTCAACAGCTGGCATCGTTGGTTTTCATGCAGATGTGCTGGTTAAACTTGGTATTTCTGTTGAAACAAGTAGATTTAGTGTTTCTTAGTGTGCAGATTTTCAAATACAACATCAAAAAAAGCTAAACTGTTATGGGATAAAAGTATAGTGACTAGTGACATTATTCCAAGATTTTTTTTTTTTTTTAAAGGGGCATCCCTGTGATGTGTGGAACAGATTAGAAAGCCTCTACTCAAGTGTAAGTATTGAGGAAACAGTTGGGTTTTTTCCTAGTGGAGGTAGTTGTATGAAGATAAAAGCTCAATTCTTATCTTCTAGGCTGTCTTTTGTGACAAGAAAAAAAAAAGTATTTTAAAAACCAGGCTATTCTAAAGGCATTGTGCAGTTTTTATGCCTCGTTCTTCAGCAGCTAGACACAACCTGCAGTGTGTCTGAATTGGAAAACGTGGCTAGAAGAGTAACAGGTTCTGCTTTCCTCGCTGTACACTTCGTTGCAGTGGTGACAATGAGACCTGGAACAAGTTCACTTAGTGGGACAGTTCTGCGAACATATTAAAAATGCAGCTACTACGAAGTTTAAGCTTACACATCAGTTGATGTGCCTCAATTCTGCATTCTATGTACTAAAAGAAGTAGAATTAGCAGGTAGAGAAAAATACTTGCAGTGCTGAATGCCTGTAGATTGTTTATTAAAAGCATATTTTGAAGGTGTCTTACAATGGTCTCTTCCATGCTTTCTTTGTGAGGTAACTCCCTTAGTTTTACCTTCTGTGTCATAGTGCTCCAGTTCCTTCAGCTGCAGATGGACCTAGTTGCTAGCTGTGTGATAAACTAGGCTATGGTTTGATTGCAGATGAAGTGCTTTGTTGTGTCATTAACATTCAGCCAGTGTAACTGGACTACTGTCTGCCTGGCTCCATACTGGGATAAAAGCACCCAAGTCTTGATGAACTGCTAAAATACTGAGGAAACTTGATACAACAATTTATTTTATTTTAGGAAGTGCATCTTATGTCCAGTCTGAACGAGCATTTTGGTAAGTTCTGTCACTGGCTTTTTTACCCTTGCCTTTTTCAGGTCAGCCACCTGTCTTTAACTTGGTGAGCTGGTTATTCTGGTGCTCCTCTCTTACTGAGAAAATGCAATGTTGTTTCTGAGAACATGAGAACTTATTTTCCCCAAACTTAAGAATGCTGTGAGAAAATTGTTGTGATGATTGGCAAAATGTTCAACTGCTCTGAAGAGAGTGAGTGAGAAGAGCCTTTCTGAACAAATCTGCTTAGTACTGCTGTAGGTTCTGCTGATTTATATTCTGGTTTGTAACTTTACTTGTTCTTTTCTGGTGGCAGGTACTTAGAGAAAATAAAGGAAATGCAGGCTGCTGTTTCACAGAAGTCTGAAGCTGCTTCAAGGGTTAGTGTGACATCTGAAGTTCTACCCGTACCTCAAAGACTGAGGCGCTCTGGTTGTCAGTAGGCCAGAAATCTCTCAGACAAAGCTTACTGATTTGTGAAGGCTTCAGGGACTGTTTCAACATTACACTAGTATGTCCTAATAGATCATTCATCCTGTTAAGGGAAGAATTTATGCTAACTTAAGTTTGCCCAAGGAATCTTCATATAAATTGCTTAGTCAAGAACAAGGTGAACAGGTTAACTCTTTAAACTAATAGTTTTGATCAGTAAGTTACATGTAATAGGAAATCTACAGGGAGGATTTTGCAGAGTTGTGTAGATAATTCCCATTGATGTTTGCTTCTCAGGTAACTTGTAATTAAAAACTTAGTAATATGAAGGAGATGCTAGTGTATCGTTTACTCTGTTCCTTCCCCAAAATGTCTTGAAACAACATAAGATGACACTTACTGTGATCTGTACCAGATACCTTCCCAGTCTGCTTGATTTTTATTATCTCTTGTGTTAATTTATAGTACCAGAAGTAGTGAGGTCTATCCCGATGGGATCTTTTCTGTAGGTTCATGTCGTTGGAAACGCCTCACAGAATAAACTTGTGGTTTGGCTTTACCCACTTAACTACGTGTTAGCTCTGTGGGATACAACTGCAAGACAAATCTTAGTGTAGAATCTGAGGATTGCAGGATGCCCAGTGATCTCTGTTAGGTGTATTGAAACATGCTTGGAATACAAAACAAAAAGTGTTTCAAGTGGAAAAGCTTGGTTGGAGTAAAGTCTGTGTGTTCTGGGACTTCAGGTGCAGCTGACATTCTGAATTACATGGGCTGAACTTAGTCTCTTGGCCAGGTTTTTGTGTAGGACTTGTAACACAGTTTTTTTGCTGCTTGTTTTCTGGATGGCTTGAAACAGTCTATTCCCCCCTTTAATCATGCAGGAGTGATTATTTCTTGTTTCAGTGGCTATAGGTAAGAGACAGCACCGTAATGTCTGTTATGAAGCAACTTCATAAACTTGCTGCATTTTTTTGTATCAAGAGATGCTCCACAGTTTCATACTGAGCAGCAATACTTGGTTAAGTTCTTCAAGTATGGGGGTTTAAAGAGTTCATTTCTGAGCAGCTCAGGCACCTTACTGCTATACTGCTAAAATCCCTGGATTTTGTTCTATAGAACAGAGATCAAAGTAGAAGAAGCAAAGTACTCTGTAAAAAGTATAAATTTTCACGTAGGAGAATTCAAAGCTGCTGTTCTTGTTAGTCTGTTCTCTCTCTCGGCTGCACGGCAGTTGTGTGAAGAGTACCTCTTACTCCCTGACACCCACTGGTGCCTGCAGGAAGCTCAATTGTAAACTGAGCTGTTGTGGTTGAAGGTCTGTGGCTGTTGCAGTGTTATGGTACCTGCACCCAGCAGCCTTGTCCTGATGGGATGTTCAAAAAGCAGTGCAGCATTTGGCATCCTTGGTTTTCAATCTGCTGTCTGTTAAACCTTGTATTTTTGCTGAAACAGTCTTTTACCTCTTCACGGATTTCAGTGTACTTGGTTTGTATTTTCATGTAACAAATGAAAGTAGATGTTTTCATTTGTCTTCATTTTGATTATCTCTGTGAAAACTGGCTACTAGCCTCTGGAACTCAGTAAGTGTATTCAATTTTTTATAACAGGTGCTTGAGGATACAGAATGAAGTGAACTGCCCCAAGTTAAAAAAGATGGAAGCAACTTGTTTGACAGGTAAGCACTTGGTTATATTAGTTCCATACAATTTTACTTTGGTGTATTAGTTGGTGTATTAGCTTTGTATGACTGTAAACATGGGAACTACTAAACTGTTGTAGAACTAAGTGTAGAACTGGTTGTGTAGTACCAGAGGTTACTGGGTAGTAATCACTGCAGCTCTGTGCAGTATCTGAGCAGATCACTCATCTGTGAGTCATTCCTGTGTGTGTGTACATACTTCAGATTGCTGTCACACTTGTGCAGCCATTTGTAGTACAAGTGTCTGAATTACTCTGCCGTTGGTTGTGAGGAGTTCCTCAGTACTTGGAGCTTGTGCCATACTTTAGGCTTGTTCACAACTTGGGTTATATATTAGCAGGATTGATTGGTCCTTCACTGGAAACGATGGGCAGCTGGGTTATTGAGTGAAGTCCCGTAAGAGCAGTGAGAGGAGTATCTGGTCATTACCAAGGCTGCTGGGATGTTACTGTTTCTGGTGAGCTGTGGACATGACCATAAAGCAAATCCACCAGACTCCTGTCTTGCCACATGGTGTGGCACCAAGTCTGCTGGGAATAAAGCCTTTAACACAGGTCAAGGACACAGTACTCCCTTCTGCTGTTAAAAGCAAGTTCCTCCTGAGGTGTAGGAATGTGGCTTGTAGGGATGTATCCTTGGGCACTCTCAAGGCTTAAGCTACAGGGTAGAGAAAGTTCCAGTTGAGGGAAATTTGTAGATTGAATTCCAGAGCTGCTGCTGGAAAGATTGTTCTTTGGAACAGAAGAAAAAAAGGGAGACATAGGCTGTTCCATGCAATTTACACCCAAGGTGCACTTTTCCCCTGTACTAACCAAACCCAACTCTTCTAACTCCTAGGGTCTGCCACCAAGTTGCTGTGTGTCAGAGGGATAAGAAACACCATGTGGGAGCTGCCAAAGTGAGGGTGAAGGTAAGGGCACTTACCAAAAAAGCCGGCGCTGTCAAGAAATTGAAGGTCACTTCAAAGAGGGTTTGCGTGGCTGAAAAACCAGCAGCTCTTAACGCGGTGACCGCATATTGAAATCCTCTGCAGGATGCCGTGGACACTCGGTGTGTGCTATGGTCTATTTGTGAGGAGATAATGCCTCGTGTACTCAGGCTCCTGGGCTGAGGAAGGGCCTTACCCTGCTGCCATGGAGTTTTCTGATGCTGATGTAGAGGAGAGGCTACTCCATTCCATTCTGAAGCAGTAACTTGCAGCATGAGGCATTAAGGAACAGGGCTGCTACAATTGTGGTTTGAGCAGTCCTGCAGCCCACTTGCTGCTTGTGTGTCCAGAGAAGGGCAGTGGAGCTGGGGAAGGGTGTGGAGCACAGGTTTGATGAGGAGCAGCTAAGGGAGATGGGGTTGTTAAGCCTGGAGGAACGAAGGCACAGGGGGAGCCACCACTTTGTACAGCCACCTGAAAGGAGCTTGTGGTGAGGTGGGGGTTGGTCTGCCAATTAACAAGCAGTAGGATGAGAGGAGGTGACCTCAAGTTGTGCCAGGAGAGGTTTAGATTGGATATTAGAAAATTTTTATTTGGATTGAAAATGCTAATAGATATTTTTCCTCTCTTAGATCCTGCTGATGTTGCTGCAAGCCTGCTCCAATGAACTGCACAGCTATTCCAAATAAAGAACCTTCTCTAGAGTGCTTATTGCAGTTTTTTGAATTAAACATTAATTTTAACTTGCTACTCCATGCTCTACTGAAAATCCCAGAATTACAAATTCTCCACCTGACTCCATGGAGTTAAACAAACTGTTTCTGGCTTATGGTTCACCACTGCAGTACATGCAACTGCACCAGACTAATTTATCAAAAATCAGCTTTCTAAGAGCTCCCTTGGAGCAGATTTAGAGGAGGCTGCAAAAATGAGCACAGGGAGGGAGCACCTTCTGTTGAAGAGGCTCAGAGCTGGGGTTTTTCCTGGAGCAGAAAATGCTCTGGGGAGATCTTGTTGGAGCTTTAAGCAGGACCTTTAACTACTAACTCCTCCACCCCTAACTACTGCATGACTTGCTGTGGTGCATTTTAACCAGAATGAGCATTAATGAAAATCCCCTGGTACTGCACCTGTTAACTAAGTTTACAGCAAAAGTTGAGCTTTGAATTTGACCTGATACATGCTTAGCTCAGAAAACAGGGATAGAAAAGCCCTCTTTGGAAGAAGTAACTCTGAGATTTTTAATTCTCAATTTTAAATCACATAGTGCAAAGAACAGATTAAAAATTCCAGCTTTACAGAAGTAATGTCCTGTTACCCAGAGATTCTAATAACTTTAAAACTTTATTTGAAAACATTTTATACAGGTATGTTACAAAACTTAGTATCTCTTTAAAATATTAACATATAAGAAAAGCCTTTCAGGCCAGTGACTCAATCTGAGACAAACAATGAAGAAAGCAGCACAGTCCATCTGCTGTGGCGAGCTCTGACCAGGGGACCACGGGGGTTTGGGGTACTCAAGTTTTCCTACAGCTTAAAGCTGAGGATTCCTAAATGGCTTCACAGTTCACCATCGAGGCTGCACCACTCATTGGCCTGGACTGTACAAACACCACCGTGTGTCCTTGTTGCTCACTCTTTCCCTGTCATGGTGCTTTCCAAGTCTTCTTGGCTCGCAGTTTCTCCAGCATTTTCTGCAAATACAGCAAACCATGAGAGCACGGTGCTGAAGTGACTGCTCTAAAGCCAGCATGGCTGGGTACTGCAACCAGAACATCAGCAATGGGTAGTGCTGGTCTGGACAGCCGTGCTGTCTCTGTTCCAGAGGCCACAGATTACAGGGCATGAGGATAGTGCGCTTATTTCTCTTCTCTGTTAATGATGGTAAAACAATGTAACAAAGCCACTCCTTCCACCACAGAGCAGGTGAGCTGGTCATGGCTAAATGCAAGAATTGGACCTGGATTCCCCACAGCCTGTTAGGATTATCCAGCATTTCCTTCCTTTCAGCTGTCTGAGGCACAGCAGGGGAAAGGGGGAACAGACAAACCTAAGGCCTCTTGTTCAACCCTATTCCACAACTACTGCCATCAAAACCCTGACAAGATTCTTGCACCTTTCAAGTTTGGGCATGCCCAGACTCTTACCCTACCTGGAGTAGCCAAAGCAGCCCAAAAAACACCAAACCCAGAATGCTGCCTTAAAATGGAAATCTAGTGAAGTCTGGACTAAGAAAAAGGCTGCAATTCTTTTGCTACAGAGTTTCAAGCAGCTGGAGCCTTTTTGCTCAAGCTCAGGTCATAAAAATATTCAGCCTGAGACAGATACTTTTTAGAGAAAACGAGCTCAGTTGTTGACAAGAAAATTCCTACGTGGGCTGTACCAATGGCATCACTTAACATCCAGACTGGTTTGAGGGTCCCCATTTCAGCCCCATTCACACATCTCAATTACTCTGATTGGAAGGAAGCTCAGTGAAATCAAGAGACCAAAGGGCAAGAAAACACTAGCAAACTGTCATCACCTTTTGAAACTCTTTAGCCTTTTCTCTGTTTTTAGCATAAGTTTCTTGCCTTCTTTTTTCTTCATTTCTGATTTTTACTTCTGCAAGCTGATTATAAAGTCTGTGAAAACAAAAAAAAAAAAAAAAAAAAAAAAAAAAAAAAAAAATCAATGTCTGGGCAGGAAGGAAGTGGCAAAGATGAAGCAGGGTAACAAGCTTAAGGTTTTGCCCTGGCTCACTTGCTAGCAATTGGGACAATTTGACAGCACTCTCCGGTAATCCAGAATCACTTCAAATTCTTTTTCAGCTGCATCAAACAAACCTTCCCTACTTGGAGCTGCACTTGTTGCCTGTAACTGCTCCCAAGTGCAACTGTGAACTTGGCATCATATTTCATCCCATGTCAGGCATTAAGTGGCACAGCTGCCTCAGCAGGGTGACAGCAGCAGAGTGACCTTCCTCAGTGCCACCTCTGCAAGGGCATTTCCCAGCAGGTACCTGCATCAAACACACCTGGCGCCTCTCCCACCTCCTCAGTGTTAAGCAGCACTGGATCCAGCTGGAAGAGCACAGACTGAGCAGCAGCCTTCACAAAACACAGATTAACTTTTTTTTTTTTCTGTTTTTGTTTTGTTTTTTTTTTTTTTTGTTAATTAAACTTCTCCCACTTGTGTTCATGCAATACCTGGATGTACGCTGGTGCATTTCAATTTCTCCAGACTTCCTATCCTCTGGAGAAGATACTTTCACTTCTCCTACTTTTTTCAACGGATTGGCAAGTGCACCATTTTTTCCTAGAGGAAAAAAAGAAGCCAAACATATCCTAAATTTAAATCTCTAGTTCAGCTAACTCAAAAGCATGAGAAATTTCTAAAGATTTTTAAATGTCATGACAAAACCCAAGACAAGCTAGCAGAATGAAGCAACAGAGATTACATCCTGAGTTAAAATAAATCCCCCCAGTCTCACTCTTGAGGCTGCTGCCTGTGCTTTAGGCCATCCATGGCTCTCCACAGCCGACCTCCAAGTCCCCAGGGACTTGTCACCAGGCACTAGAGATGCACCAGTTTGCTAAACATGGCTCTTCTGTGCTAAGCAGCTGTGATTTGCAGAGGCACCTTATGACGATAATGGTGGGCTGAATGAAATATGAAGAAATGTGAAGAGCCCCCATAAGGGGCTTTACAACACAGGCAGCCAGACAGTGAGGGAAAACAAAGCTCCCTGATTCCCTGAGAAAACAAATTAAAGAATATCCCAGTTTGCAATAGCAAACATGTAGCAAATATAAAATCTATTCTTTGATATGAAACATCAATTGAAGGGATGCCTAATGCTGTGTCTTGCCCCCCACATAAACCTACCAGAGAGAAGACCGGACTCCTTCTGTCTGCTTCTTAGATTATCTGACTTTCCTCCAAGAAGCTTTCTTGCTTCCAGCTTTTCATTTTCTCTCTCCTTATTTTTTATTGCTTCTACTCTTTTCAGAGATTCCTGGATGAAATTCTGCTTTCTTTTTAAAAAAGATTTTTGTAAACTTCCGGGTGTAGCTGCAAACTCCAGTAGCATCACTGTGAAAGAAAAGGAAAAGTCTCCACATCTTTCACTTTTAATAATGAGCAATGAAGCATTTCCAGGTTTCTCTAAAATGCTGAGCTTGAGCACTTTTGTAAATGGCACGAGGAGAATGGCATTGAATGATGAGGCACCTTGCAGAACCAGCAGCAGCTCAGACCCTGTGGAATCACCATGAGAATAGGAAAAAGGACAATTCTTTGGCTACAGGACTCGGGGGGACTAACAGAAAATGAGAAATAAACAAAGGTACATAAATTATGACAACAAATCAGAAAAGGACACAGATTTTTTCAAAATGAAGTAATTACAAAACCAAACAAGTATAGTGGTAGAGATTCTGAAGTTTCATGAGAGAGAACGTGGCCCAGGAAGAGACAAGTCAACGTGACACACACTTAAACCTCAGTCAAAGGTATTACAGACCAAGCCTGAACAGCAGGATGCACTTGCCTAAGTAAAATCAGCTCTAAGTTTTCCAAATGAGAGGTGTATTTTGTCGATGATTTTTATACTAGAAAAATACTTTCTACTTCAGTGCATTGAAGAACCACATATTACCTGCAGTCTGATGTGATGGACAGTGACTCTTGTTGGGACTCTGGGCTTTGGGAGAACTGTCAGGCCTTACGAAAGCTGAATCATCTGCATCTGGAGCTAGTGGTAGAAATTCTCTCTCCTGTTTCAAAAGGATCAGTGATTGGATTGGAAATGCTTAACATGTATGACAAATTTGAGTGAAGCAGTACTACTGTACCACTAGCACAGACCCAATACAAATAAAAGATTGGCTTTTGCCTTTATGTCTGATGCAAAGAAAAATCAGAAACGAATTCTGGTAATAGGTATGAAAAAGCTGTTTTCTAAAAACATTTTAAAACTTAAAAAAACAAACAACAACACCTACAAAAAAAAACACCAAAAAACCAAAAAAAATCCCAAAAAACCCAAAACCTCAAAAAACCCAAAAACATCCATTAAAGACTTTTGCCCACCAGATTTCAATTGCGTGTTCTTAATACAGGTCTGCAAATCCAATTTATTTTAATTTCCTCCTGCTCTCTTCAGTTCTCCCCATCACTCTCTTCCTTCTCTGTATTCTCCTCCCTTTTCCCAGAGGCAGATGACACCCACTGCAGCAGTACAGCCTCCTGCTGCCAACCTGCACCTCTCCCATGTATCAGCTACTTGATAAAAACCCATCCTTAAGACACTTTCAGGAATTCTCTAGACGGCTCTTGCAATTAGTGCATGATCTAATCTGTTCATCTAACAGACACAGTTCTACACTGTAGACACTGGTTCTACATCAGTGCTTCAGCACCCAAACTATGGTCTCATTACAGCCCACCCCTCTGCAGTTTACAAAAGCCTTTGCTTTATATAAGCAAGCAGCAAAAAGAACACCACAGGTTAATTAAGTGTGGCAGTTATGAAGAGCTGATTAATTTTCCCTCTAACTGCTGCTGCAGTCTGGTATGGCTCCATCCTCACAAGGTGAGGGGTTTCTCCTTTTTTTTCCTGTCTACTTTGTAGTTTTCATTTTATCCCACACTCTCCTTTCATCCAGTTTTCAATTAGAAAGATACAATTCAATCTTGCAAACACCAGCAAGATGGTTTT